AATAATAATAAAGTATTACAGTACAAACAGAGTATATTGATTTATATAGATGCTTCACTACATACTTTGATGCACATTTATATATTTCTGCTCTTCTTTGTTGCCTTAGAATTCCATATATAAACTCTTGAGTAGTATTCTTCAATAGCATACTGGAGGTCACAAATGGAGTAACATTCAACATGTTGTTTACAACGCCATCTGGTGGTTGAAATACCTGTTTTGTACATTGACATAAAGAAAAAACCATAACCACAAAAAAACATCAATACATAACAAAACATAAAAAATTGTTTTGGTTTATATGACTTTTATTGAATAAGGTACACGAGAATGGTGTTCTTATATTGACTTAAGAGTAAAAATTAAATTAGATTAGATTTGAACTTGACATTTCTCAATTATTGTAGGTCTACAGTTACAAAACTGTGCTGCATTATTGCTCAAAGTAAAATGGCTTAGTACCAGAATTAACCGGCTGTCCAGTTATTGACAACAACTACAGTAACTTTAGCTCACCTTTCAACAGCACCATTCAAACTTGAACTCATTCACACATCCAAACATAATGCTACAGAACAGGTTTAAAGAATGTGCGTATTTCGCTGTCACAGATACAGCATCTTGAAGACGTGTAAGTTTACAATGGGTATCCTGACAAAAATAGAATTAAAAACATGTTTTAAGGACCCCTTAAAAAATTTAAATGTTTTGATATTTTCCTTTTTATGTCACAAATGTTATGCTTATAAAAATGTATTTTAATTAAAACATTTATCAAGTTTAAAAGGATTAAATACAAGACAAGTAAAGAATACGATTTTCAACATGTATAATGTGCGTAAACAGAGCTGCATTGTGAAAATTGCTCAATGGGATTTCTGGTGTTGACAATCTTGACTGGGCCGTCTAATTGGAGATGAGATTGTCACATGGCAGCAGCGGGCTGACACCAATTTTCTTAGCACATTCGTTCTGCAGAATTAGAATGCAAAAATTCAGTCAGGTTAGCTCATTCTCACAGGCCTTTTAGTTAAAACAATGGTGAGACATTTGGTGAAATATGCTTATTTCCTTTCTTGCTGAGAGTTACTGAAAGGCTGATAGCACAGTTAATTTAAAGCTACCGACATCAGCCATTTAGCTTGGCATGAGAACTGGAACCAGTGGGAAACAGGTAGCCTGGTTCTGTCCAAAGGTAACAAAAAATAGCTGCCAGCACTTCTAAAGCTCACCAAGTAAGGAATATCTAGGTTCTGGTGGTTAAGTTAAGGCGTACTTACTTCTTGAAATTTTGTTGACACGGTGAGGTTGCTAGATGGCTGTGTCCAGCCAAAGAACAGTTCAGCACCCCCCCATAAACCCCCCCCCATCTTTTGTCACTGTTTGTAAGTTGGTGGGCTTGAGAGGGTGTCAGAAGGTGAACTTTGGTAACTTTGGACACAGCCTTGCGAGCTGTTTCTCAATTTTTCCTTTCTTATGCTATGTAAGGCTAAGCAGCTGCTGGTTGTATATTTAGGATACAGTTATGAGTGTATTGTATTGTCAAGTTGCAGCTTAACTATCATATTCCATTTCTGCCAACATATCCTCCTAAATGTTACACACTGGACCTTTCAAAATATTCAAGGGAAGTTATCCACAAAAATCTCCCATCTGTTGCGGCATTTTCTTACAAATGACTACTATGAGTTAGGAGAGTGTGAAAGAGGTGAAAACCTCAGTCATTCATTTGGACTACTGTGAGAAAAGTATAACTTCTCACTCAATATAGCATATAGACTATATATTATTAGTACGTTTTCTAAATGTTTGAGGCCAGCTCATACCATGTGGTTGACAACATTGATGTGGTAGGGGATCCCGCCCATCTCCTCACACTTCTTCATGTTCATCCTTTCTGGATCTCCAGGCGCCAAAACAGGAATGTCAGGGTCAGCCTACGGCACACAGCAACCGCATCGAAATCACTTCATTTTCTTGTAAAATGATCAGACTGAGGGGTTGCGATCACTAGACATCACCCCCTAATTAGTCTGTGCATCATTGCAGCAGTAGGATCTACTCACAGGGTCCAGCCCTCTGTGGATAGACAGCAGGTCTGACATCCTGTCATTGAACCCGGGAGCAAAGTTCTCTGGGTTGATCGCCACGAAACACTGACCCTGAAAAAACAAAACAGGTGATGACGACACAGTGAACTGACCCAATACAAACAGTAAAAGGTAGACATGACATGACGTAATATGGCCTACGTCAAACTCATTGATTGTGCTTATCTCTTAACAGTGGCTGTCAAAGACTGTGTTTCAACACATAAAACATCAACTCCAATGACAGAGAGAGAGAGTGGACAATGGCTGCAACGTGCATAAACACTGACATAAAACAAAAGTTTGGATCAACAAAGCTCAATGTAGCCGATACCGAAATGCCTTGATCGGCGCAGATACCGATCGTTGAGATTGGAACGGGACATCCCCAGATGTGATGGATGAATTTTTACTTGTGCGGTTGATGTAGTTGTGCATTTTATGCTGAGTGTTTTCATATTGTCAACTCTGTAGTAGCCTAGGCCAGGTGTTCGCAGACTTTTTCATGTCAACGAACCCCACTATAAACGCACATAAGACCATGGAACCCCTTTTTTTAATGATCAAACTAGGACCACTACAAATTACAATCAATCAAAACATCCAACCTTATTTAAGTTTAAGTATGTAAGTTTAAATATTCTATTACCCCCCGATAACCCACTCAAGGACCCCTGTGTGTCCCCAGAGCCCAGTTTGAAAACCACTGGCCTAAGCTATGCTCATTTGTCCTCTTTAAAAACACAACACAAGCCAAAACAAACAAACAAACAAACAAAAAACACGTACCAGGTTGGCCACGCGGTCTGTTACTTTCCACGTGCGGATATGCTTGCTGTACATGGAACCGGCCAAGATACCACAGAACACTTCCACCATCATTCCCAGACCATAGCCTTTGTACCCTCCTGAGAGCAACAACACAGACATTACAACACCCACAAACCTCAGTTCTTTCACATAGAGAGAGGATGAATGCAACAAATGTAATTTTTCATTTATGATAGAATATACAATCAGCAAACAACCCAGAGAATCAAGACAGAGCCCTTCCATATGGTGCATCATCCCAATATGTTCAGGACTGCTCTTACTAAATGCACATAATAAACTGACTTTCAGAAAACTGTACGATTCCTCATTTGTTACACAAATTATATGTCAAGATAGTGTAGAGCAGGAGGATTATTTCAACATAATGAATGTTACCAAAATGGCTAAAATGTAACTGCAGCCAGAACAAAGGGCAAGCTAACAGAATGACTCAAAAAACCAGCAGCAGACTTATCATCATTATCATTTGGTTTCTAACCTGTGGCTTCATTGCCGCCAATGGGCACCAGTCCTCCATTCAGAACTTTCTCAGGGTCAGTGGTAAGTTTGCCCTCTGCATCACAGCCCCAGCCCTCAGGGATGGGGTCTCCACGCCGGTAATGGAGCTCCACCTGTGCACATAAAAAAATTGAGACATTGAGTAAGAGAGTAAGTAGACTTTAAGCTTTTAAGAGTTTCAAAGCCATTTACTGCACAGAGTGCACATTATACTTGAAAATAATAAAATAGAGTGTAAAGTAAAAATTATTAAATAAAAGAGACTTAAATTATTCTCTAACTGAGCTCTCAGCTCAAGTCTGTTGATGTCCAAATCAACCAAGTTAGGTTAGAAATTCAACTCAGAACTCCCACCGACCATTGCACACTATACAGACAAATATATTTGTCTAAAGGACAAATAAAGATATGGCATTAGAATAAACAGTCTGGGTCAAACTCCATTGGTGGACATAATGTCTCTTAGCATTGAGGAAGTTATGTTCTGTAGTTGAGGCTTCCCTGATCAGTATAAACTTGACTTAAACTTGACTTAGTATATAGTATAGTATAATCTTACCTTTCCAAGTGCTACTGCTGATGTGGCCATGTCCATAACAAAGCTGTCTCCATCTTTAGCAGGAGCTGCCACACTGATGGGGTTGGTGCCCAAAGTGCACTACAAACAGCAGAAGCAGCAGTATAAGAATACTCTTAGTCATCGATGGCATGGAGTAAAGTTTATTCTGTAGATTAAATAAGACATTTACCTCTTTACCCCGTGTGGGAACCACCAGTGGGGATGTGTTGGTAAATGACATTCCCTGTGGTGGTCAGATTATTATAAGACATACAATTAAAACCATTTGTGAAAACAGCTCAGTAACCCCCATTACTAAACAAGGAAATTGCGTTTAAATTAAATTCATAAATTTGTATTGAAAATGTAAAGAAAATTAGTACAACTATTTAAAGTTGATAAATCTTTCACTCACAATCATGTTCTCCTTCAGAGCTTGCAATGCGTAGTATCCAGCAATACCATAATGGTTGGAGCCTAAGACAGATAAAAGCCATACAGTAAACATTTGAATATCAGTGGAAATGTTTTTTCATCGTGTTATTGGTCGAGATTTGTTGACCAGTTTACTAAAGTAAACTTTAATTCTTTAATTTAGTCTTTAATCAGTTCATTTTTCTATTTTTAGTAACCTGTATTAATTCAAATCCAACATACTGAACGTTTTTCCTGTCATCAGACAATACAGTGGCTTTTGGTTTCTCTTCCCACGCACCTAATTGCCTGTTATATGAGACAAACACTTTACTAATCATTTCACAGTAAAGATAATCCCATTACAAATGCTGAATGTTCAGCCAAATCAAATACAGACCTGCATCTGAAACCTGAGCGTGTTAAGGTGGAACATTTCACAAGAAATGAGTTTATCCATTGGGCCAATCACTTCAAGACTGCAGGAAAGTATGAACATAAAAAAATAAAATAAAATGTGTTGGTAAAAATGGGACTCACCGTGTGCCACCACCCAGCCAATGCCAACTTCTTTGGCCTTCTTAATGGCCAGATTCATGCAAAAGTTTCCCACTACAGGACCCAGGAGGTTCTTGCCATCCACCAGCGCTGTGGCTGCACTCTCCTTCTCCACCTCCGGCTCACCGTCCTTGGCACAGATTCCTGACTGGATGTCCTTTACATACATGTCTGTTGAAAAGTATAGAGACAGCGAGCACAAACAACAACCACATTTAAATACAGACACAAGAACATCCAAATCAAGGAGTTGAAGGTTAGCGGATGAAAATAAGTGCATTATTAGAAAGTGGAGAGATTTGTTTTCACATATTCACCTAACATTACAAAACGTATTGCATTTGTGGAAACATTATATCTTACATGTTAATGTTACCAATCAGTCACAGTTTACCCACATCTTCTTTACCACTACAATGGTGCTGCCACCTTTCAATCAAACATGCAAATAAAGTGAGAAACTTCCAGTAACCCACTGACCCATCCTGTTGAGTCCATGGCTGTAATGGCCCCTGTGATCTCCCTCCACAAGCACCTCCGCCAGGCTGCAGGCATGATTCGGCTTGGTGCCCACAGCTATCATACACCTCTCGATGAAGCCTTGTACTTCCACCTTGCTAATCAGACATCTGCAGAGGGGAAATGTTTAGAATGTGATGGTTATATACTCAATTATGCATTTTCCCCCCAAAAAGTGATCAGTCAGGTTATGATATTGTCACTGTACATGTTGAATTACGTACACTGGATTTTGCAGTTTTAAGTAATTAAGAACATCAAAACAAGATGAGAACTCTCTTTATAAATAATATTTTGAAAAAGAATAAGCAATCCTTAGGTTCTAGGTATGAGATGTTTTATGATGTTATGTAATTTACTGCATAACCGCAGTGATCTCTTCTCCCGTCTGTTATGATATTTGTTCAATTGCTCTGACCTAACTGAATCGCAAATCAAATTTGACTTCAGTAACTGATTACCCAGAAAAAACAAACAACAACACTGTCAACACACTCATGTTTTGGGTGATGTTTCTGTTTCTCGTACAGGAACAGCAAAGACAGTCTGACTTTTGGCCTAAAAAGCAAAGGCAATCCAAACCTATTGAAACAGTGCCAAATTGTGTCCTACTTGGGTGAACCCTTTTTTTGACCCACATTTTATAGTATTAGGCAGAATGGATAGTCCCATGCTTATTCAAAGTCTGAAGTCCATCTTTGCAACAGTGATTGAACAACCTGTGATCAAACAAATGATGTACTGTAGGTCATGACACTACAGCTCTACTGATATTACATTGTACAAGTTGTTACTACAAACCATATTTAGAAAAAGATTCGGATGAAAACGCCACTGGGAACAATACTGGAACCTGTCCGTTGAATTTACAAAGCAACAAGGAGCTGCGTGAACGTGAGAACTGGCAGGACATCATGTACGAGAAAAATGTTTGTATCTCCCCGCAGAATGTCACGCTATAAACAGTGTCACTGCTTCTGTTTCTGTCACAGTTAAAGTCATGTGCATGAAAACCCTTAGAAAAATGCAATAATTACAAGAATATATATATATATATA